GGGGTCGCGCTCCCAGCACCCCCATGTTCCATAGAGGAGAGTGCGGGCTTCCTTCTCCAAGATTTGGAGATCCACGTTTCTGTCTCTCAGCATGTTAAGGGGCGGGGGTCTTCATTCTCTCCCCCCAGATGCTCCTGGGGGGCGCCTTTTCTCCCGCCAAGATTGTGGGGCTCGGGCGATGGGGTCTTTGCTGCTCCGAGGTATCCTGATGTTGAGAGTCCTTGCGTACCTCAGATGAAAGGGGAAGGGAGTCTCAAACCTTTCCTTCAGATCTTGCACTTGGGGTGCCTCTTTCCCTCCCTCTCCTTCCTCCCTAATATTCTGGGAAAGCGAGTCACGTTTCCCCTCGCGCAGTGCCTTGAGTTCAGTGAGGCCAAACCCCCCACCTCGAATACACATGCCCCGCGGAAGCTCTGTGGAGGAAGTGAGAGGAACAGGCCCCTAAACCCTTTTGGAGCTTGGCTTTGGAACCTCTCTAACCCTAGGAAACCCAGTTCCAGAACGGTTAATCTGCATCTAGATGTATTTGCTTTCCACCTCGCCTCTCCCACCCCGCCCCAGGGGGCCCATTCAGTTCACCACTTAGTAGATGCCTTTCAGGTGACATCCTCCAACCTGTCTCCAACCCCCAAGATTATTTACAGACCCCACCAGTGGACCGGCTCCTGCCCTTGGTCAGGATCTATTTACCTTCCCACACAATCCCTCTTCCCAGCCCTTCCCCCCACACCCCCCCACCCTCACACACCCCTTACCTTCCAACCCCCACAGCCTTCTGCTCCCTGATACCACCCCCACCCTTCCTGCTACAGAGGTGGTACCTTTCAGTGGGACACTCAGCTGGGTGTGTTGTTTATGAGGCTTTGGGAGCTGAGGACAGCAGATGAAATCCTATAATATTTAATTTAAGGGAGTCGTCTAAAATGTGTGTTGGCATTGGGGTAGCAGATGAAGGTTATATCTGGCAGTTATATTGAAGTAATTATTGACCCACAGATGGATCTGGGAGAGACGATCAGGTTTGTATTCGCTCCCTCTGTACAAAGCCTGCTGCTTTGACTTCTCAGCAGCCCCTAACCTTCCAGCAGTGGGAGATCAAGTGTGTGTTCTGTGGCTCTCTTCTCTGCACTAAAAATAATGGTTCTCAGGTGGGTTCAGGCTTCTTTAATAAACCAGACAATCAGCAGAAGACATCATCCCACTTTGGAGTCTCAAAAACAAGTTCATTATGTCCATCCAGCCTTGATATTTGTTCCCAGTGGTGCAGCCTGTGCGATGGGGTCTTTGTTCACTGGCTAATGCTTCTGTTAAGCACCTCATGTCTGTCCCTGGGTCTCACTGCTCTGTGCATAGGTAATATGCTGGGGGCGAGGGGGTCTGATAGACATGGTCAGGTGTATGAACACAGCCTGACATTGGTGGTAAGTTAATGGTTTTTGTGAATAGTGTTTGCTAGGCCTTATGGGCCATGTTTTTGGAATGTGTAACATGATGTTATTTCTCTAGTAGGATAGTAGATAAGGAGGCAGCCTCTGGGTTTGTCATTTTACATGTGTATGAATAAATCTTCAAATTCCTTCCATAGGAATTTTTATCCTGTCCCTAGTATATCTAAGATTTTTAACAGCCCTTTCCCTATTGGTTTAGTATAGTGTCTGGTGGGATTTTTCTTGTTGTGAGCCCAGTTAAGAACATTTAATTGATAATCCAGCTGGTTCTGAATGGGACAGAGTTCATTTTTTTAACCTTCTGAAAATGGGTGTTGGGGTGAGGATGGGTGGGCTTCCTAGGGAGTTGCTTTCTTTTTTTGGTGAATGGGAAATTAGGTTGTGTATCCAGCAAACAGTCTCGAAGGCCTTTAAACTTGGCCAGACACTACAGTTTTTTCCGGGACACGTCTAGTTGCCAATAGTGCATGCTGCAGAGACCACTGTTGCAAAAGGCTTAAAGTAAAACGTCAGTTCTGGGAAAATAGAGGCTGTGGGAGAACAAGAAGTTGATTGCTGTCCTCCCCTGCACTTCCTCTATTGCGCTCCCCTAGGTGGGCTGGAGGAGTGGCAGAGCCAGGCAGCCCTGATGCCTGGTCCTTGGTCAGGACATGAGGGCAGCAGGGGAGAGGTGCTTTGTTAAATAGTGAGCTAACAGCGGCTTAGTAAAAGTCCAGTGATAAGGAGAGTGAGTTCCAGGTTATAAACAGCATCCATTTAATAGGTATACCATGTTTTAAGGCCTACCTTTGGAATTTTCTCTCTAGTATTTAAAAATGTAACATTGGATTCTTAGCAGGAGAACATGACATTCATTTCTTAAGACAAAAGTAACAAGGGAGACATTTGAGGTTCTGATAGGAATATTTTGAATTTCTGTAAATAGACTAAAAATTTAATTTCAGGCCAAGTCTTGTAATTTTGTTGAATGGACATGGATTTGAAGTACAGTGAAAGTGAACTCTTGTAGAGAAGAAGAGTCTCTGATTAGTTTTGTTAAGAGCTCCTGGAACAGATGTGATGAAAACAATAAACTGGCTACTCCGGTTAAAGGTTAGAGACAGATGAAGGGAGGAGGCTGGTTTGCAGCCCCAGAACTTTGCTCCCTTACAGGTTGTCCTTGGATAAGGCACTTAACCTTTCTGTGACTGCCTCAGTTTTGCCTCTGTAAAGTAAGGAAATAGTCCGTGTCGCTCTTATTGGGCCATTTGTGAGACTGACTGACTGATAACCAGTTGGCTGGGAGGTATTTTTAGACACAGTTTCTGACTTCAGTGAACAGGCAGTGTTGGGCTACTTTTTATCTTACGGGGCAGAATAACTCTTGGGATTGATAGAAGCACCACACATCACAGTGTGCTTAATTTCTTCTTTTTTGTGCATTTTTGTGGACTGGGTTCAGATTTCCTCGAGTTAATTTCTGCCTCTTGACAGGTCCTCACACCATAGATCAGGCAGCCTACCTGTGCTAATCAGAGACAGTCTGGAGGGAGCGACCTGCTTTAGGCTTTATTGGTTTGGCAGTGTTTTAATTCTTACGCAACTCTGGATATGTTTATGGCACTATGTAAATGTTACATAAGAACATGGAGGCTGAGAGGTGGCCAGAATGGCGCCTGTGAACACAGGAGGGTTAGACCGAGGACTTCATCCGAAAGGACCTTGGGAGTCTGCAGTCAGTGCAGGAAGAGGCCCCACTTCATTTTCCTCTGGAAACCTGTTTAGATGATCCTGTCTTTCAGGTGGACTGCTGTGTTATAAATAGGTTTGTTCTGCACCGGTGAGCTAATTGTAACCTTGCTACCAAAATATGAATCAGTAAACGAGGAGACGATGAGGCATGCTGCTGCTTCCAGCATGTCCTGTTGAAGCTGCTTGTTGCATTGGGGAACATGAGTTGAATTGCGTCGCATTCTGTTCTCATAATAACTCAGGAGTAGAGTGTTGAGATGGAATGGAATTCTCAGTTCATGGTGCTTGAAATCTTTATTTTTGAGGGTTGGATTAGAATACTGAAGTGGCTGTTTTGTTTTTATTTTGAAATCCTTATTGCTTATTGTTCGATTTTTGCTCAGAGCAGCTGTGAACATTAATTCTGGGATTCCCGCCTCTTTGTCTTGAGTTCTTGTGTTACTTGTCTGTTACACTAGGAGTTGATGTAAGAGGGTCTTATCTCATTTTCCTCTCCGTATTCGTAAGAAGATCCTGGAGTCCTCTTGCTCCTCAGTCCCCCTGATGCTGCAAGTGCTGTAGGCATCCGGAGCCCATCAGTTACGCCTGGACCGGGAGGGAGTGCTGAAACCTTTGAAGGGATCGGCTCCTTAGAGCCGGCAGTCCCTGCAACCTCAGCTACCTTGCGGTCACTCTGCAGGCACAGCCTCGTGGCCAGGTTCGAGTCCTGCTCTTGGCTTTTGCTCTCCTCAGCCTCTCTCTCTCACACGTGGTATAGCCCGCGCCTAGGCCTCTGAGGCACCGGCTCTGCTCTTGTCTGTTTGCTGGCCCCTCCATCATGGGTGAACGCTCTTCCAGAGTGGAGCTGTCTTCCTTCCTGTATGGACCTGCTCTCTAGGTTTCAGAGACAGCGCCGCCTCAGGTGTTCTTTTTGGGTTTCTTCTCTTTCCACTTAGTCTGAAGCCTGCAGTTGTCTTGCTAAATGTTTTGAATTTAACATAATGAAAGTAACTGCCTGTCCCTTTAATGTCTCACTCGTCCCTAATATTTGCGCAATTACATATAGGAGGTTTCTTTATTCATGCGATTGGGTGTGTGCCTGGAATGATTCTTGGCACGGGGAGGTAACAGGGAACAAGATGGACAAAAATCCCCAACTCATGGAACTTACGATTGCAGTGGCTCAGACTGGAAATAGATAAGTAAACACAGTTATCAGTCATGAGTGCTCTGAAGGAAATAAAATGGGATGGTGTGCTGGAGTGCACTGGGAGCTGCCACTTCACATCTCTGTCAGCTTCATTGTTTTATCTGTAATATGGGGCTAATATGGTCAGGTCTCAGTATTTGTGGTAATTATGTTCTGTGAGGCCCACTCGAAGACTGAGTTAGCAAATACTGTACCATTGCTCCTGGGAGAGACACAGGGTTTGGTTCCTGCGAGCTGCTGGTCACATTTTCATCAGCTTATCAGTACATAATCTTGTTTTGTCTGTGTTTCTACTTAGACACCTTATTTAGACACCTTATTTAATATGTATTGTTGATTCCTTAACATTGAACTTAGAGCCAACAGGACATGCCTGAGCGAAGCTTATTCAATATATGTATTTTCCCTGCAAGGCACATTACTGTCTTCTTGAGCTTAGAACACTAGACAGCATTTCAGCACTACTCTTGGGGGCCATTTTAAACAGTGAAATCACCAACAAAAAAACACAAAAAGATGAAAAGCATAGTACTGAATATACCATGAGAAGGACTCATATTTACAGCCTGAGAGCTCAAGCAAGAAGGCAGAGCATTGCCTTGTTCAGCTGGGATCGTGTGCAGTGGGTGGCTCAGATTTTTCACTACTCTGCACATGTCTGCAAGTAACCGTGAAAGCACTGAGAGTATTGATTTGGGGGTTACAAATAAATTTTAGCAAGTAGGAAGATTCACAAATACGAATCCATGAATAATGAGGATCAACTATTTTGTTAAAGCTGTACAAACAAATGATTGTGGCAGAGAGAAAATTGTATCATGTGGAATTCCAAGGACTCCTAATTGGTTTCACTGAACCAGAATTTTAATGTATACAGTTAGACGTCCCGTTTCCAGCCTATAGTAGCCTAAACGTATATGTATATTGAGTACTGCTATGATGATTTAAAGGTTCCTCTCACACACGGCTGTTGAGCACATGCCATACACCAGGCACTGTTGTAGTGTGGGGATACAGCAGTAAACAAGAGAGACAAGATGCTTGCCTTTATGAAGCTTGCCTTCTGGCAGGTGAAACAGTACAGAAATAAAATATAAGGTGATTCTGTCTACCAGAGTTCTCCCCTCAAGATTCCTAACCTTTGGTATACACACATCTTTCTTCCCAGTTACTCAGTCAAACATGAATCTAGGTAGTACAGTTGACCCTTGAGCAACATGGGTTTGAACTGTGTGGGTCCACTTATACTCAGATTTTTTCAGTAAATACGTACTACGGTACTATATGATCCAAAGCTGATTGAATCTGTGGACGTGGAACCACAGCTACAGACGGAAGATTGTAGTTGTCTGTGGAGTTTTGACTCTGTGGCGGTTGGCGCCCCTGAGTTGTTCAGGGGTCAACAGTATGGTGAAGGGATTAAATCAGTTGACCTTTGGATAGGGAGGCTGATGTGGTGGACCTGGCCTAATCAAGCTAGCCCTTGAAAGCAGAGAGTTGTCTCAGCTGATTGCAGAAGAGGAAGGCAGAGATGCTGCAATGGGAAGAAAGTAAACATCCATGTGTGAGCTGCCTGTGGGAGCCATGTGGCCAGGAACTGCAGGCCAACTGGGAGCTGAGAGGCCCTGGCCATCAGTGAGGAGGGAAGCAGGGGTCCCAGTCCTTCATGCACAAGACACTGGAGTTTGCCAACAACGAGCAAGCTCGAAAGAGATCCCAGCCCTAGAGGAGGAAGCAGCCCCGGCTAACATCAGTCATGCTGTGCCTGGACTTCTGACCTACAGAAACTGTGAAATAGTAAATAGGTGTTGTTTTAGAAAGTGTGTGTATGTATGTGTGTGTTTATGGTGAGTCAGATGGTGATGTGAGGAGAAGGAAAGCAGGAGAGAGGAATCCCTAGACAGGCTTAACGGTGCTGGAGGCCTGGTACCCAGCCATCCTGTGGATGGACCTTGCCTGTGGAAGGCAGTCCTTTGACCACATGTGGCTTTCGCCTTCTGCCTGTTACCTTTTCCTAGATATTTGTGAGTGAGTGGAGGAGAGGGGAGATTGTGGGTGCTTTGTAGATAAATTTTTTAGGTGATTGTGACATTTTGAGTTGAGGAATCTGTGAATTGAAGTATATTTGTTTTAGTAAGTATTTATGTTGAACCCACCTTGCCCTACATCTTCATGTGTTGCCTTGGTCTACATTTGTTTGTTATGTTCTACACTTGTAATAGATAAGGTTGCATCAAATTCAACCAGGGCTCATTTCTAATATCCAGGAGCAAGCTGAACATTGAGAGGGATACTGAGGAAAGAATCTGTCCTTGCCAATGAGAAGTTTCCTCACAAACTGACTACTTCTGCTTGTTGAAACAACCATAAAACTGCAGAGAACTCAGACCTTTCCCATTCACTAGGATGACAGCAGTGATAAAAGCATCTGATTTACTGAATGTGTACTGTACTCAGGGGTACACTGAGCACCTGTGCTACATCGCTTACTCTACTTACAACTGTTCTCTGAGGCACTCTTATCCCCATTTTACAGAAGAGAAAACTGGGGCATAGAGAGGTTAAACAGTAGGCCTGAAGTCTGCCTGACTCCAAAGCATGTGCTCTAAGTACTGTACTGTGTACTGTGATAATGGTTACGGTCATTTTCTGACCAGTCTCTGACTCCAGTCTCTCACTTGTCCTCCGTCTTTACACTGGATTCGACTTTGGAAAGTGCACTACTTTTATGTGACCTCCAAGATCGACTCCAGACCCCTTAGCCTGGCATCACAGTCCATCCAGTCTGGCTTGGGCTTCCCTCCTGGAACCTTGGCATTGTTGTTGCATCTGTCCATTTACTGTGAACCTAACATGCCTTGTGCTTTTCTTGGTCTTGGCCTTCTCTTCTTAGCCAGATCCAGCATCCTCCAGTGTGGGACGCCCTTTGTCCTCCTGCCATTCCCCCAGCCATTGGTTCCATCCTCTCTGCTTTTCTCTTTGGTTCATATCTGTAATATAGAGGTTCATACTGGTTTATAGTTGTCTGCTCCTCCCACTCTCCCACCTTCTGCCCCCTAATAATTGATGATAGGAACTGCCTTATTCTTCTTTGCATGTCCTATCACAGCCTTGCGTATTTTAAGCACTTAATAAGTTTAATTGAATTCATTCATTCCTCTCAGCAAAATCCTAGGTTAATAATTCCAATTCTGTCCTGCTGTGATTTTATTATCTCCCATATATACAGTTTTTATCCCAGTCTCTCAAAAATGCTACAAACCGTTTGTGAGTTACTTGGAACATCATCATCTCAATTCCTAACTCACCTCTTCCATCTCTGTTTATTCCACTCTGTTTATTTTACCACCTACCCATTTTATTCCAGCCAGATGAACTTGGTCTCAACCTCATTATTTTTATTCTAAGTCCTGGCTGATTTTTTTTCCTCTTTCATTGTCCCAGTTGCCTGAAACAACCACTCCTATCCCTCTTCTCACTCAAAACTGGGATGTACACTGTCGCCTCTCCACACGTCCATAGTATAGTAAGTAGGTCAGGCAGCAAACACAAAATACCGCTGGTAAATACCCTTCCCTGCTCTAATGAGCCACGAGTGTGTCTGTTTAAATACAATGAAGCACGAAAACAGAATGGTTTTACATGTCAGTATAAACTGTCAGTACAGGAGAAACACCAAGTTACTGGTAGACAGTCTAGATATGACGGCCAAGTCTGTACACTTAGGTCCTGGGAACACTAGACCTCGTAATGATGCCACTCCTTCCAGTTTTACCTTGACCTTCTGGGCCACAGGTGGGCCCTTGCTAGATGTTCGGGTGTTTACAGTCAGCCATAAATTAAGTCGCAATGACAGGTCTCCTTAGCATAAACATCAAACGTCTCTTTTGAGTGAGAAC